GAGCGGCCTTACTGGCACAGTATCACTACAAGATTTCGTAATTTGTGCTAGTTCTCGCAAAGGCCCCTTAAGTTAGGCTCTAAACAAAATATGATCTTAATTTCATATGGTTTTGCAAGCTGTATTTACCTTTTCTTCGTGAATCGTCCGCGTTAGCCGCAATGTTTCGCAGGCTACTTGGTTCTTACTTTACCTATATGTTTCATTTAGATTTTTTCCTCAAGTTTTATTCGTAGAGTACAGCTGCTATCTTTGAGATGGCGTATGTAGGTGCGGCAGGGACCAGTAGTGCAGGAGAGGATGGATGGCAGCAGCGAAGGATTCAGGAAGATACGAGAGACGGTAGGGAACACTTCTGTTTTTTATTTGTAAACCTTTGGTAGCTAATGAATTCTTGTGGTGTAATGACCTCGCTTGTTGGTCTTAATTTTTATTTTGAATGTTTTTTCATTTGTTTTCGCTCGTCTGGCGATAAAGATTTATTGGGAAAGTCAGGGCTGGGTAGGTTTTTGGGCTTGTAATGGTGCGATTAATCAATTGCCGAATTTCCGAATTTGAACAATATTTAAACCAGTCTAGAGGGAAGCCGTGTTGTTTTCAAAATGTTATTATCCACTCGTAGAAATATGAAGAAAGAAATTATTTAGAGATATTATATGTATTGGTTGAGAGGAAAAAAGTTATAGTTTGTTAGAGGGCTAAAGTCGACAGCATTTTTAAAAAAATGTCTTGGCATTCAGTTTCCTAAATGCTTTTGATTTGAAGGCCTCAATGTTTGTACGACAGAGCCATCGAAGGTTGACGTTGATGAAGAAGAACTACTGGAAGAACTAATCAAAGTTTCTCTATGACGTTCACGTAGCTGTAACTTCAGAGAAGGGAGGTCTCCAAAAAGCAGGCGTGTTAATTTTATGTGCGTTTTTCTTCTCTTTTCTGACGGCAGTTTGACAGTATTCTTTATTGCTAAGTCGAATATGCCAATTAGTTTACTCCTTGTCGTGAAGCGTAATATAATCAGACTAACTAACTTATCTACGTCCTTCTTCATGCGGTTGAGAGAGTACTGAAGTAAAGGCTGACTCCCTGCTGCGGAGAGCTGTTTCTCTAGAGAGTTCTTTTCTTCTTGTTGTTCCTTTGGAACGGTGGCAGTGAGATCAGCCAAACGTTATTTTCAGGATTTGCTACTCGATGAACCGATACTTCACCACGCCGTCCACTGAAAATATCAGTTCATTTTTCGCTATAACTTCACTTTAATGCTTCTTATCCAAGACCAGCTCTTTGGCAGCGCAAAACCTTTAGGCCGCGCTGAATTGCTGCGCGTTACTGGCGGGTCAGAAGACTGGCATTCTTCACTTTTTCACCATTAGGTACTGTAC